GTAATGTAAAAAATGTGATCGTATTTTGAGAACAAAATTTTGTTTTGTGACTTTTTTTGTCAAAATTGCAATTTATGTAAAAAGCACGGAATCCTTGCCTATTAATTAGATTTTCAAAATTTTTAAATTTACAACACGTAATTCTTCGTTTAAATCTACTGTGAATAGTATAGCTTTGTAAATGTCTAAAAATTTTGATTTTTTTTTAAAAATCTGAAATTAGGGTAAGTCCGAGCGAGATGTGCCACATTTTGAAAACCTGCTCTAAAATAAAATCTTCATTTTAATCTACTTATACAGAGTGAATATAAAGTATGGAACCAAGCAGTTCTTTTTTTAATCACTTGTCTTCAGAAAATAATAATTAGTATAATAAAGTAATATAAAAAGATGTGATCGTCCTTTGACGATTTTGTTTTTTTGTCAAAATTGCAATTTATGTAAAAAAATTAAATAGAAAGTAGATAGTTGTAATTCTTAGATCATAACCTTCATGAGAAAAGTGGTTCTAGAATTCTATAACAAATGAAAATTTCCTAAAATTTTATTCTTAATAAAACATCACAATAGTTTTAGGCAACTTTTAACTTTTTATTCACCTGGTATAAACTTGAATGAGTTTTTTGAAAAAATAAAATTACGTTTCCCGTACTTACCCTATATTTTCAATAATTTCAACAATAATGTGATATTTTTTTTAGCACCATCATCATGCGGCAGTCCCGACAAACAAATTAACACGACTATAAAAGGCAGTAATTACAACGTGGGCTCACGGATTGAATACCAATGTCCCGAGGGCCATATGTTGTTAGGCGAAGCAACGCGACTTTGTGGAAAAGCAGGCTTTTGGTCGGGGAAAGCACCAACGTGCAAATGTAATAATTAAATTCCATTCACTCTTAGAATATTAATTTTTGACATTCAACAGATGTGAGTTGTGAGAATTTGCCCAGTTTGGAGCACGGCTCAGTGGTACTTAAAGACAAACGAACAACATATGGGGCGCAAGCACTTTACACCTGTCACGAAAACTTCACTCTTATCGGACACGAAATTAGGACATGTGGGGCCAATGGTACTTGGACGAATTCCACCCCAAAGTGTCTTTTTGATTGGTGCCCAGATCCACCTAGTATCAATGGGGGGATTGTTAAAACGTCGGGGCGAAGGGCTGGAGACACTGCTGTGTATTCGTGTCAATCAGGGTTCATTTTATTTGGGCAAGGGGTACTATCGTGCGAGTTGGGGGGTCAATGGTCGGGTAAAGCCCCCTCATGTAAATTCGTCGATTGTGGGGCACCTCCAAACATCGACAATGGACGGTACCATCTCCTTAATGGTACCACAACTGTTGAGAGTTTAGTGGAGTACAGTTGTGGACACGACTATTGGTTAGAAGGGCAAAAAGTACAGAAGTGTACCAGGGAGGGCAAATGGTCGGCTGATGCACCCTCGTGTGAACGTTAGTACTTTTAAAGTTACAATTTTGGTACCACTTTTATGTTTTTAGTGATCACATGTGAGGAACCTGATGTACCTGCTGGAAGTTACGTAGTTGGCTATGATTTTAACGTACACTCCTCGATTGAGTACCATTGTGAAGTAGGGCATGTGTTACGAGGGGAACCAATTCATACTTGTACTAAACAAGGTGACTGGTCTGGTACCACACCAACTTGTGAATGTAATAAATCCAGTACCATTTGAAATCAATTACCCCAAATGTTATTTTTAGTCGTTGATTGTGGTAAAGTACCAACTATGTTGTACGGTACTGTTAATTACATCAATGATACGACACATCTTGATAGTGAAATTGAATATTCATGTGCGAAAAACTACAGACTTAATGGGGTTTCAAGACGGCGTTGTTTGGAAAACAAACAGTGGAGTGGTACTCCACCAAAGTGTGAAGGTACCATAAAAATTAGTCTCAATTGTTTTTAAACTTTTCTATTGGTAGAAATAAGATGTCCTGAGCCGATTTTAGCCGAACATAGTATATTGTCAGTGACCGGAAACGACCGAATGTATGGTCGTACCCTCATTCGTACTGCTGAATCCTCCTCAACGACTTACAAAATCGGAGCTATAGTTAAATATAGGTGCGAAAGAGGTTACAAAKTTGTTGGTGAGCCTTTGAGTACTTGTGAGGATTCGGGTCAATGGAGTGGTGATGTTCCTCAATGTGTTTGTAAGTAACTCATTTTCATATTAATGTGGATCAAAGTAGTTGTAAAGTGGCAACCATGCGAAAATTTAAATAATCCTAACCTCAATCTTCCCTAGTGTTGCCAGGTGTGGTGAAATTTCACCAGATCTGGTGATTTTTATTCTATTCTGGTGAAATTTAGTGAAAATTTTTGTAAAAATTCTAATATCTGGTTATTTTTTGTAAATTAAAAAAAACTGTTTTTCGAGAATTTTCCACGTTTTCAACCAGAAACTTGATTATTTCGTCATTTTTTTTCAAAAAAGTCGAAAAACCGCCAATTGGTTAAAAATAGTTCTGTTTGTTTTTTTTGCAAGATTTTCCTAGACAGGATCGAAAATGACAATTTATTTTTGTCTTTTCCGAACACTTTTTCAACTAGAAACACAATTATTTCGCAAAATTTCGTTAAAAACAATTCAAAAATTTAACAAATTTGACCAAATATAGCGTCATTTTTTCCCTTTTTAAGTGTTTGTTTCAGCACGTTTTTGAGATAAAAAAAATCAAAAGTGATATTAAATAAGACAAAAAAAAAAAATAAATAAAAAGCACGTTTGTACTACAGTCTTAAGTTTTTTYGTGAGATTTCGCTAAATTTTTATGTAGACTCTCACTTGATTATTTCGTCAAATTTTCTCGAAAAAAAAAACTGATAATCACCAAATTGGTTAAAAATAGTTCTATTTGTTTTTTACGAGATATTACTAAACAGAGTCAAAAATGGTAACTAATTTTTGTCTTTTTCAGCTAAAAACACAAGTATTTCGTAAAATTTTGTTAAAAACAATCCAAAAATTCAACAAATTTGACTAAAACGGCGTTTTTTTGCCTTTTTTGAGTGTTTAAGCTTGTTTTTTTGAGAGATAAAAATACAAAAAGTTCGAAATATTACGTTGAAACGGGCCAAAAAAYCACATATTAATCGAAATTGATATCATTTTTTAACTTGACTTACTTCGTTTTAGAACCAGAGGTTCATTTATTTTGCAAAATAACATAAATAAATAAATAACAAAACGCCTAAATAATAAAATAATAATACGCCTGAATATCACAAAAAAATTGATATTAACATTATTTTCTTTATTTCACTCGATTTAACTGGTTTTGAGCAATATTAAGACAGAAATAGCTGAGAAACCACAAAATTTAGCCGAAAATGCTTTTAAGCACGTTTTTGTACTAAAATCTCAGGTTCTTTGCTAGAATTCGCTAAAACAAACTAAAAAATCAAGTTACTAAGTCTAAAATTACATTATTTTTGCATTTTTCGAGCGTTTTAGCACGTTTTTCAGCTAGAAACGCAATTATTTTGCAAAATTTTGTTGAAAACAAGCCAAAAAAATCACAAAATTAGGCCAAAAAACATGTAATTTTTGCTTTTTTCAACAGTTTAAGCAGATTTTTAAGCTGAAAACTACGTTTTTTTGCAAGACTTTGCCATACAAATCGTAATTTTGTGAAAATTTGGCAAATTTTTCAACTCAAATCTGGTGAATTTTATGTTTTTGATCTGGCAACATTGATCTTCCTTAAAAATTATTTTTCAAATAAATGTGTACCCCATGTAGCAAGAAATAATTAAAATTAACAACGTAATTAAGATAGGGTGGCAAACTGAAAGAGTTTTAATTTGTTGTGAATGACATTAATGACACTTTTTGTGTAAACCGACCTTTAAATTAAAGATTCATTTAGACTTCTACTACTTGATGCACATTAATAGTACAATATATCAATACAAAAATTATCTTGGTCAAGGGTGGTCATGGAATGGAAAACGTCTGTCGTTGCTTATATCATCATTTTGAAATAATTCTGTCAATTGACAGCGTCGACATAATCTACGACAATTATTTTAAAATCCATCCATGACCACCCTTGACCAAGATAATTTTTGATCTCACGGTATATACCTTAAAACTTTATTATTTTTTCTTCACTAAAATCCCTAGATGTTGATTGTGGTAACCCTGAAAGTGTTCAAAACGGTAAAGTTACCCTAACTTCAAACGCGACTTATTACGGCGCGTTGGCACTCTACTCCTGYGAGAAAAACTTCGAATTGGATGGAGTTTCGCGAAGATTATGTCTTGAAAATGGTACCTGGAGTTCCGAGGCTCCGATTTGTCGCGGAATTCAGTGCAAAGAACCCGACAATTTTGATGGAATGACGTTCAAAGTTAGTACTTATAGTGTTGGGGGCGTTGTGGCTTATTCGTGCCCCCGAGGGCACACCATGGAGGGGAATTCCACACGGATTTGCTTGCTCAAGGGGGTTTGGAGTGGGCGAGCACCCACATGCACTGGTACTGTCTATGAAAATTACATTAATCAAAAGTACTAAAATTGTGTTTCAGCGGTTGATTGCAAGCACCCGGGTACCATCGAAAATGGTCGAGTGATTGTAATGAATGGTACCACCTACAACGCGGCGATTGAGTACCATTGTGTSCCAAATTACGAAAGAGTGGGTCCCTATTTACGAAAATGTATGGAGAATGGGGAATGGTCTGGTGAAGTACCACGATGTGAGGAGATCACCGGGGAAGTACAAGAACCCTCGAGTCTGGGTACCAACATCGGAATTGGGGCCGGTGTTGTTGTCTTTTTGCTAATCCTTTTGCTAGTAATTTATCTCAAATTGTGAGTAGTTTTTTTTGTGTTATTAGAGTTTGAGTTTTTTTTGGTACTAGACGGAAACCAATCCCTGTGAAAAACACCGAAAACGTGGAAGGGGCCGAACGCAAAGAGGACCGAAACGCAGCAGTTATGAGCTACGCCACGCTCAGTGACCGAAACGGTCATTTGCCCCCAAATATTTACGAAAATATTCACGACGAAAATATGTACGATGCACCGTATGAGGAGACAAGTCGCGATAGTGGTACCTACGAACCGGAACCCATTTCGTGGAAGAACGGAAATATGGTTACCATAAATGGGGTTTCAGTAAGATGAGATGAAAGAACTGAACCAATTGCTACCAAAACCAACCTAGATGTTGCTTATAAAGAGTCTATTTCTTGTTTATTATTGATTTGTAATTTAAGTCGTGTTGAGATGGAAATGTGATTTAAATTAAAGATCAGTTGCTTTTGTTGTAAATTATGTGTGAATGTGTGAGTGTCGTAGGGTCGACTTGTTGATGTAAATACTCATTTTGTAATAAAATAGGTTATGTACTGTAGATAATGTCACAAATAAAAGAAAATGACCTCAGAGTTTCCCTTAATTTTACCCCATGAGCGTATGTCGTGACTAAATTGTTTGTTTAATAAAATGTCATTTTTCTGAAATATGTCATAAAGAGTAAGTGGAACGACGTTAGGATGCTAACAAGAAAGTTGTCAAAGCGGACTTTAACTTTGCTCTAGAAAGAATTTTTTTTAAATTGGAAAATTTGACAGATAATTCACAGGTATTGACGTTATTCACGACATACGTTTATAAAATTTCCAGTGCACGCTTGAGCATCTTTATTTAGACTCAAAAATTCTCAAACTCAAAAAAAATGTTTTTTAGCACGACTCCATAACATTTTATATCGATTTCTGAGTCTTTTCCAACGTTTTTGTACTTTTCTAAGTCTCTTGTACTTCTAATTTTTAAGTGTTTAATTATTTCCATTTTTTGTCAAACCAAATTCAAACCAAACTTCTCTCCCAACCCCTAAAACTCTCAAAACTCCCAACTATTAAAACTTCAAATTTCCAACTCCTAAAACTCCCAATTCCCAAAACACTCAACTCCCAAATAAACTCAACAAACAGAAGAAAAATCAACTTTAAAACTAAAATCACTTCAGAATTGTCCTCAATGTTCCAAATTTCAATCCGTATCAGAATGCTGTGAAAATTTTATGAACGTATGTCTTGTCTAAATTTCTACTTTCAGAAAAATGATGAAAATGTCTTTTTTTTTTAAATATCACAGAGTGTGGGTGGAACAATGTAATGATGCAACCAAAAAAAAACTGGTTTTCAGTTAGTTAGAGAGAATTTGTTCAAAAATTACGAATTTTGACAGGTATTGACGTTCTTCGAGACATACGTTCATAAAATTTTCACAGTACTCTTGATCACGTTTTTATTTAGATTTAATAAACTGAAGACACAATTATGCAAAATCGCACAGTTGGAGTAAAGTAAAATTGTATACAAAAACGTTAGATAACATAAAAACTAATTACCGACCATTTATTTATTTATTATTTAGGTATATTTTCTGCAACCACACAAATATGGTTGTGGTGACTGATCTAATAAATTGAAACAACAAATCCAACGCTATATTTGGTCATAGATGAAACGACCTCATTCCATTTATTTCGCCTTTCCTCTTCAAATTCAACCATATGTGGCGAAAAATCCGATTAAACTACATGTTTCAAAAATTTGGCAACATTAAATACTCCCTAATCACGAAACAACATTCCAACAGAGAACCAAACATGAAAAATTGGTACTATGTGTGAAAACACGAGTGAAAACGAATTTTTAAACATTTGCTTTTGAATCAGCCGCGTAAATTCCGACGAATGATTGGTCAGGTTTCAAGGCGTGGTGTGGTGGGGAGCCAGTAGAAAGCGCTCTGAATCAGAAGAATTTTTCAACACTTGTGTCACCCACAACGACTGATTTTCCACATTTTTGCCTTATTTCTCGTGTTTTTTCACATTTCCAAAYTGTAAGTACGTTTAATACTCCTCTGGGTGTGACACTTGCTAACACCCATCACCCACCCATTTTCCAGGAAATGTCGTCCCGGAAAACCGTAAACCGCCGTGGAACCACGAAAAAGCGGGCCCAAAGGGCCACCTCGAACGTCTTTGCCATGTTYGACCAGGCCCAAATCGCCGAATTCAAGGAAGCCTTYAACATGATTGACCAGAACCACGATGGGTTCGTCGACAAGGAGGACCTCCATGACATGTTAGCCTCCTTGGGTTTGTTACAATAGCCCCCAAATGCCCAATTCTAGACTGCGTTTACAGGGAAGAACCCCACTGATGACTACCTAGACGGCATGATGAACGAGGCCCCCGGACCCATCAATTTCACCATGTTTTTGACACTGTTTGGGGAGAGGCTTCAAGGAACGGACCCCGAGGACGTAATCAAGAACGCATTCGGGTGCTTCGATGAAGACAACATGGGGGTTATCAACGAGGAGAGACTGAGAGAGTTGTTGACCACAATGGGGGACAGGTTCACCGACGATGAGGTCGATGAAATGTACAGGGAAGCCCCCATCAAAAACGGGCTCTTTGACTACGTGGAGTTCACACGCATTCTCAAACACGGGGCCAAGGATAAGGATGAGCAATAGTAACTAACTTTCCACTTTTTATTGTTAAAAAAAAATAGGACTAATAGGGTTATTCAAGGCATTTATTTTATTTAATGGAATTTTGTTTATACATGAGACACAAAAACGTCTTTTTTTCCCTTTTAAGTTCCATTCCTTATCCTTTTTTCCAGCATTGGGGACACAAATGGTTTAAGTATGACGTCATTAACTGATAATAGTGATAACACACCTGAAACGCAAGAAATTGAGCATTTTGAAGACTGCGAGTAGAGTAGTAAACGCTCGCGCCCTCTATGAATGGTGAATTGAATAGTAATACAGTTTTCTGCTAACCGTGTGTTTTTTTCTACGTGCTTGACGTCATTAAATGATAACACTCCTGGGAGTCAAAAATTGTTCATTTTGAAGACTGTGAGGACTTGAGAAACGCTAGCGTCCTCTGTGGTAGTGCAGTTTTCTGTAGAAGGTTTGTATCCGCGCTTGATTACGTTCGTATTTGTTTACATAACTTAATAAACACATGTTAGAACTGTCAAAGGCCACGTGCTTGTTGTATACACAAGTGTTTAATGTAAAAAATTAGCGAGTGGTAAAAAGCCGGCAACAAGTGGTAAGAACATGGAAAAGGCATGGCGTCTTTTTGAACGGAATCAACAAGTCGCGGGCGCCGCGACGACAGCGCCGCTATTTACGACGTTGGCCGCGCCACGACGCGTCCCTCCACTACATCCACCTGTTTTCTTTGCACACCTACTAACAAATGTACCTTCGAAATGTTTTGATTTTGTTTAGTTTTGGCTTGTTTTTGTTGTTGTGTGTTGATGTGACGCTTTGTTTTCTTTTGTTGAGGTGAGATTTTTATTTTATTTTGAATTTTGTTTGACGGTTTTGATGATGGGGTCATGAGACGCCCAAGACGCCCGACTTGAGATGGCGAAATGGACGTTCAATCACGATTTCGGACAGTTTTGACGTTTTTTTTTTTAATTTTGCTGAGATTAGTTGAGTTTTTGCTGATTTTTTTTCGGGTAGAGATGGAAGTTAGGTTAGGTTGGGGATTTTTGCCCCAAACCTACCCTAGAGAGTCTGACGTCATCGACGAATTTACAAGCTTGTTATCAGTGTGATAACAATGAATGCATTTTTTGATTTATATCAGTCATAATTTTATGAAATTAAAAATAGTTGTTTTCGGCTTTTTTTAATCAACCTTTTATAAAAATAAACTCCAAACATTAATTTTTATATTTTCGAAGCCAATAAATGAACGAAAATTATTGCCATCGTAAAATCTCCCAATTCATTAACATTTGCAATTTAAAACACGACCTTTTTTTTCATAAAACTTTTTGATGGTAAGTATAAATAAGTTGATTAATTTTCTCACGCGAAAAACGAATTATTTCGTTCGTAATTATGTTTAATCAAGATTTTATCATTACAAATGTTTTATTTTTTTATTATTTGATAGTAAAAATTTTGAATTTGTTGCCTTCGTTGTGTACGCGAAGCTTTGACTATTCCATCACAGGTGGCGCACGAGTTAACTATATAGATTTTTTCGCTACTTTGCTTTTATTTATTTTTTTTAACTTTTTATTTGATATTGCTCAAAAATAGTTTGTTTGCATGTGTGTGTGTATTAATAGGAAATACATTTTTACGAATAGTATTCAATGTTTGATGTTGATCTAAGGGAAATAACAAAAAGTTTATATTTAATAAACTAATTATGAAATAAGAGGACGTGTTGGGTAGGTATGCATTGCATGAATTCGTTATTTTTAGATACATTTGTAATGCAGAAATAGGAAATGAAACTATTAAAAAGCAGTTCGTAATTAGTCATTTAATTAAAAGCTAATTAATGTTTATTAAAGGAAATCGATTTTGAGATATAAATTTTTCATTTACAAGTACCACTATAAAACATATTTGCAGCATGCTAAATAACATATTTGTAAAGGAAACGACTATTTTTTATTTTGTTGCATATTTTAGTTACATAATCTACTTGGGATAAGTACTGACTATAATTTATTCTTTTTTTAACAATCTACTATACATATATTTTTCACGTTCAGCCTACTTAATTGTTTTAATTTTATTTTGTTCTTTGTATTATATCTTAGCAAAGATAAGATTTTGTCTGTGCTGCAAGTAAAAATATTTATCATTTTAAATTTGCCTAAATTATTAAGAAGCGATTTGAGTTCATGGATTTTTTTGTCAAAATTTTTTGTCTATTGGTTTTAAATCTGGGTCAAAAAATGCCAGAAAAAGGCTTTTTTTAGCACTTTTGCAATGTAAGTCATWAGAGAAGCAGGTTTTTGGGTTTTGACCATTATAGAAATGTATAAATTATGGCATGACCACTAGCAAAACTGTATACAGGGTAAACAAAAAGTGAGGAACCAAGCGAGTTGTTTTTATTATTTTTCTTTAGAATTCAATAAGTGATAAAAATGAAAGTCTTACAAAAAATGTCATGGTGTTTTGAGAATGAAATTTTGTTTTGTTTTTCGATTTTGTTTCAAAATGGAAAGTTATGTAAAAAGTTTGATAAATATTGAAAATATAGGTAGTTGTAACTCTTAGATCAAAGCCCTTGTAAAAAAAAGGTTTTGTAAGGCGTTGTATTTGAAAAAAAAATTTTTTTTCAGTTTTTTTCAGAAAATAAATAGTTTAAGCAAAAGCGTTTTTATATTTACTTGGTATGTAAGAACTTTTACATTAATTAACCCGAATCATACTTAATAAAAAAACAATTTTTTTATTATTTTTTTTAAGAAGACGTAAAACATTATACTGTATACATATAGCTCAGTTTTCTGAAAATGTCGGCTTTATATTAAAGTTTTCTTTTTTTTTAATTTTTTTTGTATAAATGTAAAAGTCAAACATTTCTGGTAAACAAAAATTTAGGTAAGGCGAGTTTTTTTTTATCTGATTTCTATTTTAATACAAAGATATTATTCTTGTATTAATAAAAAAGACAACTGAAAAACAGAAAATAATACATTTTAGTTAGTCTCTAAAACAAATAATTTCTTCTAATTCAGACAAAAATTACACACTTGAATGGATGTTCTAAGAAGATCTAATTAATGGAACGAACGAAGTATTTGGGATAACCGAGRTTCTACTATAGTTATTTTTTTGTAAAAAAAGGTTTTATAGTGGGTTGTCATTTTGAAAAATTTATTTGGTAGAAACATCCACACTTGGTGAAAAAAAWATATRTATACCTAGTGTTTTTTCTCAAGAGTTTAAACGGTCAAATTKTTATTATTTTGAAGAAAAATGYTTCATTAAACAAAAGTGCTCTTGCATATCTATTACTAATAAAAATTWGAACTTTTTGTCAATTTGCTTTTCTCATATCGTTCCGATGACTGCCTTTCGAATAAAAATATTATTATTCACAACCGTATATGTAATGTTGACATTTCTAACCTTGAAAAGTTGAAAAGTGTCATCTTCTATTGCTTACTTTTACTACTACCCTTGTTTTCTAGTGATTTTTATCTTACTTTGTAGGTACAAACTGTATTATAAAGAGGACTAAATYGATTCAGAATTTTTATATTATTGTTCTTTTGTAGGATTTTGTAATACCACATTGAATCTTTGGTTTGCAATTCTTTACTGATAAGAATAAGAAATGTACATTTTGAAGGGTTGTGTAGTGGTTTCAGTTTATTTTAAATGAAAAACAAGAATATTTTTATTTGGGCAATCTAAATTATAAAGTAATTACTCCTTTAATATTTTTGCGTCGTTAGTCAAAACAATAAAGGCTATCGCGTCCGATGTGTTCCGTTCGTAGGAATATAAATTAGGGTGGCTAAAATAAATAAAGGGGAGTTGAGATCAATAATTTACAACTGTGTTTTATGTTAGTCTCATATGTACCCAGCGAAATTACTGGTCCGCATTTTTACAATCGAAATTCTCTCGAGAATTTGTTTCATATAAATGTTATATGGCTCAATTAAATTGCCTTTCGGTTATGTTGTGTATTGTACAGCATAGCTGGTGACATTTTTTTCCTTTTTTTTTGTTTCGTTTTGTATCTTGTTCGATGGTTTATTCACTATGAGTCAATTAAGTCTAGGCGCATTTTATTCCGAGCGACGACTGAAAAAGTTGATGCAATTTTTCAGATGTGCAATATTTTTTTGGTTTTAACTCTGCATTCACTTATTGGAAGTGGTTGATTGATTTTTTTAGTTTTCAATCAACAAAGCAAATATATAGCGCCTGCTAACTTTAAATTGCGTCTTTTTTCATTGTTGTGTTTATGCGATTGACAACCGCTTTAATCTCTATTTTTCACGACTATAAAACCATCTCACATTTTTTCAATTTCTGCTGTTTGGTCTCAGATAGTTTCATAATGTCTAGATGTTAGTTTCCACCTCCATTAAATTTTATTTGTGAATGAAATGTTTATTTGAAGACAGACGCGCCAAAGAGAGACATTCGTTTCCTTTAAACTTTAACAACTATTGGAATACATCAATACGATTTTGAGCAACATTGTAGTAATGTGTAATATTACCAATATTAAACATCTTATTTGCTATTAACCTGTTTATGATGAACATAATACTTTTATATCTATTTTATCTCTGCTGCCGCCCCTGCTGTTATTTGTGTATCGGTATCGGTTATGAAAGTAATCAATAAGAAGCGTCTCGAGATTTTTGATGTCAAACCATTAGCAAACAAACGATCTCTTGCAAACTCATGCAACTAATCATGAGATAAAATTAACACTTTATCTATTTCAGGACATCAAAACGTAACTTGATGTTGTGTTCGATTTTCCTTAATATATTTTAGATGAGTGCTGTATATTTTTATGTCCGGAATTGAATCTAACTAAAGTCGGATTGCGTTTTGCATTTAACACGACTTTATGATTTTCTTCACTTCTTTATAGAAAGTTTTCCGATCGAAAACCACAGGAATTAAGATATTTCAAGTCATTCTAAACGCGAGTTTGAAAATGGTGATCGACCAAAATTTTTTACAAAAAAATGATGGAAATTTGTCTTTTTCAAATTTGTTTTCTAATAATAAGAAATTCTAGTTATTGCTGTCTTAAAGTTCACCAAAAAATTTTTTTTAATGAATCTTTTACATATTTTATTTGTACTCGTTTTTTTTAAGTAGAAATAACTCAAATAGGTGTGAAAAACTATATTTACAACATACCTAAATTTCATAACAATATAAACAAGAACTCTTAATCTAACTTTTAGTTGTTAGTTTCATCTGCCACATCTCTGTTTTGGGTTAAATTTGCACAATGGTCAGTTTTTTGAGAACTTAAAAGACATTTTATCTTTTGTTTTTTTTTTTTTTTGTCTAAAACTTTCGTAAAAAGTGCTTTCCTGCCAAAGAAGCAAAGACGAACATTTGACAGATATTATTTACCATGTTAAATGGCAATGTTCTAACTTTATTTTAACTAAAAATACATACAGGGTGAATATAAAGTATGGAACCGAACGGTTTATTTTTAAATCATTTGCTTTCAGAAAATAATAATTAATATAAATTAAAGTAATGTAAAAAATGTGATCGTATTTTGAGAACAAAATTTTGTTTTGTGATTTTTTTGTCAAAATTGCAATTTATGTAAAAAAAATAAATATAAAGTAGATTCTTTGTTTTACAAGACTGGCACAAATTAATTATGTAGTTATACAAAGTTGGAAAAAAAAAATTAAAAACATGTGTTTGTAAATTTTATTTCACTTTATATTTATTTGAACCGTACGACATAATTTTTAAGTCCGAGAAAGATGGACTAAATTGAGTCAAATTTCGTATTTAAA